TTCTATCCGCTGGTTCACTTCCCAGATGGCTGCAACTGTCAGAGCTGGGCCAATCCGAAGCCAGGAGCCAGCACTTAGGTTATCTTCCAGTGCTCTTCCAGGCACATTAGCATGGAGCTGGATCAAAGTGGAGCAGCTGGGACCTGAACCTGCACATGTATGGGATGCCAGCGCCAAAGGCAGAGAACTATTATGCCACAGCCCCGACTTCAGTATTCTGAGTTTTTATCAAGGTTTGACATAGAATTATTATATAACTTGAGGCAGTTCATTCAACATATTTGAAGAGTTTTCTACTTGGAGGGTATGAAATAGTGATGCTGGTTTTTAAAGCTATGACTATTGAATTAAGAGGGAAACAGTAATTTCATAAGATGGTGATCAATGAGAACTGTACATCTCTGCTGGAGGGAAATGAACTTGGAATAGGGGCTTGGCTTGTCTCCACATAGCTTCACTTCCACGCAGGCATGAAGGCGTCAGAGCGGTCTGTCACAGAGCTCACATTGAAAAAGAGCCATTTTCCCTCGTACCTTGATGAGCTACCAAACACAAAGCTGTGTTAAAACACTCAAAATAAATTGGCCTATGATCTGGACACTGCCATTCAAGAAACACCAGAGCCTACATAAGTAGCTGATGGGGGTGACTAAGATTTTCCTCCATTCACCCAGAAAAAAAAGATCTCTGCTTTAAATACCCAAAATGGCTGAAGCACAGAGAACAAAGGGTTAAAATTAAGTGAGTGTGGCTACCTGTCACTCAGAGCTCAGGTGTTCTGGCTTCCTGACTCCAGAGGCCAGTTTACCTCATTGTGGGTGTAGTTAGTTGCGAGTTGTTTAGGGGCAAAAGTCAATTTAGGGAAAAAGAATTGATGGATGCCTATCAGGGACCTAGATCGACCCCTGGTCGTATACCTATGGCTGGCCGCTTTTCACGAGGATGGAAATCATTTAGTTCTTGGGCCAATCATAGCATTCCTTTTATTACTCCTTTGAAGCGAAACTTAATTCTTTGTGTATTTTTTTTAAACAACAGGACCTCAAAGAGGAAATCTCACATTAAATGAAACACGAGACTGTGGACTATTGATCATAATATGTAAGTGTCCAGATGATTGCTTACGAACATGGACTGGATATATGGGTTAGTGGAAAACCCTGCCAACAGTCTGTTACATCATTGCTGATTTTGTTGGGAGACTGAATTATGTTGGTAAGAAACAAAATTTAAGACAAACTCTTGCTCTAAATGTTTAGAGTTTGTCCTGGTTGGTTGTTGCTGTTGTCTTTGGAGCTTAAATGCAAATGTGCATCAGGAATCACAAACATTGAGTATTGGAATGGTTCTCTCTGGATCTCCTTCTTGCTGTACTATTCGAGTATTTCCTTTCTGCTAGGGAAAGATAGAGGAAACAAGAACATGGTGAATTTGGAGCTCAGTGAGTAGGCACATTCAACCAGGGCTGCCTGATGCTCATGCTGATGGAAAACTTAACCCTAGCCATTTCTCTCATCGAAGTACGAACCAGGCCCGACCCTGGTTAGCTTCTGAGATCAGACGAGATGGGGTGCGTTCAGGGTGGTGTGGCTGTAGACTAAACCTTGCCATTTCTCAGTGTGGAAGCTAAGAAATGTGAGCATAATTCTGGTGGCACTGTAAATTTCAAAACAGCCCAAGGCCTGAGCAGTCAGCAGCCGGGTGAGTTCCAACACAGAGCAGTGGGATATCTATTTGGAATACGGTGACTTGCTAGTAGGCTGGGTGAAACCTTAGAGCTGACATAGCACTGTTTTTCTGCAGTGATTGTTTTAGTTCCATAGTTGTGAGCTAATTGGTTGTGGAAACATAGCCGAACAGAGAGAATTTGGATTGGAGACCCACCAACATACAATTTGAATCATGAAGATTAGCATTTCCATGTACTTTTATCAAGGTATCCACTGAGGAGCTAGTGCTGTGGCCTAGCGCGTAAAGCTGCCACTTGTAGTCCCAGCATCCTGTTTGGTCACCGGTTCAAGTCCCAGCTGCTCCACTTCTAATCCCTCTCTCTGCTGTGGCCTGGGAAAGCAGTAGAAGATGGTCGAAGTCCTTGGGCCCCTACACCATCTGTGGGAGATGTGGAAGAAGCTCCAGGCTGCTGACTTCGGATCGGCCCAGCTCCAGCCATTGTGGCTAGTTGGAGTGAACCAGCAGATGGAAGATCCCTCTTTGCCTCTGCCTCTGTAACTCTGCCTTTCAAATAAATAAATTTTTTTTTCTTTTAAAGTATCCACTGATTTGCTCCTTCCCCCACAATTCAGGGGTGGGGAACTTCTGGCCTACAGACTGTATAAGGCCCAGGAAAATCATTTAATCTGACTCTGCCAAGGCAACTGCAGGCAGGACTCGAAATTCAGTAAATCAATAGCAGGCTAATTTTTAACTTGATAATCTTGTATGGCCTGGAGTGATATTATAAATATCCAAATGAGGCCGGTGCCGCGGCTCAGTAGGATAATCCTCCGCCTTGCGGCGCGAGCACACCGGGTTCTAGTCCCGGTCAGGGCACCGGATTCTGTCCTGGTTGCCCCGCTTCCAGGCCAGCTCTCTGCTGTGGCCAGGGAGTGCAGTGGAGGATGGCCCAAGTCCTTGGGCCCTGCACGCCATGGGAGACCAGGATGAGCACCTGGCTTCTGCCTTCGGATAGGTGCAGTGCGCCAGCCGCAGAGCGCAGGCCGCGGCGGCCATTGGAGGGTGAACCAACGGCAAAGGAAGACCTTTCTCTCTGTCTCTCTCTCTCTCTCACTGTCCACTCTGCCTGTCAAAAAAAAAAAAAAAATCCAAATGACCCTTGGCAGAAAAAAGCTTCCCCAGCCTGCATGCAAAATAACCTAGGCTGGGTTCAGTTTCCGAAGATGGTAAGATACCTCTAACTCACTAATACTCCTACCTACAGGCTGGAGACAGTTGAATACAGTGCAGGCTGGAGTGCTCTTGTAGCCCAAAATTCAGTGTATTTTTAAAACTATAAGCATAAAAACCACCCAAGGCTTTCTAAAATGTAGCATCCTAAGATGCAGCTCCCCTACAGTCTGATTTGGCAAATCTGGAGAGAGAGCCTCATGCTTGAATTCTAACCAGCTCTCAAGGTGATCCTAATACTGGTGACTCCTCGTCCAGTTTTCCAGAAGCACTGATTGAAGGAATCATTTACCATACTCATTTTACAGATTACAGGCATCCCTCTGTGTTTGTCTGAGACTGATGCTAGCTACCCACTCCCCTACCTAGGATACAAAATCGCAGGATGTACAAGTTCCTTAGATGAAATGGCATAGTATTTGCATATAACCTGCACAATCCTTCCATATGCTTTAAGTCACCTTTAAATTGCTCATAATATCTAAGATAATGTAAAATCTGTGTGAAGAGTTGCTAAACTGTATTGTTTAGGGAATAATGACAAGGGGAAAAAAGTCTATATATAGTCATGGGGTGGGCATTTTGTGCAGTGGTCAAGTTGCTGCTGGGCTGCCTGTATCCTGTATCAGAGCACCTGCTTTGAGTCCTGGCTACTCCACTTGCCAGGGAGCTTCCTGCTGATGTACACCCTGGGAGGCTACTCCACTTGCCATGGAGTTTCCTGCTGATGTACACCCTGGGAGGCAGTGGGTGATGGTTCACGTACCTGGGACTCTGCTACCTGCATGGGAGACTTGAATGGGGTTCTGGGCTGCCTTCAACCTAGCCCTGCCCTGGCTGTTGCCTTTGGGCAGTGAGCAAGCAGTTGGAAAATCTGTTTCTCCCCCTCTCTCTCTTTCAAGTAAAATGAATAAAGTAATAAATAAATAAACATGATAAAGTCTGTACATGTTCAGTACAGATGCAAGTTTTTTCTAGTCTTTTCAATCATGATTGGTTAAGTCAATGGCTATGAAAGCAGCAGATAAAGAGGGCTGTGTTCTGTGAAGACACTGCTGCACCTTATATGCCAGACAGAAAAAGCAAAAAAGGGAAATGTAAAAGTCCATTTACAAGTGATCCTTTATAATCCCTGAAAATATCTAAGTAATTTCTGGAAAGGGATAGGTGGAGTCCTAGCAAAAGTGGCCACCAATTAATGACTGCTTTGTCCCCAGTGAAAATAATCTAGAGCTATGAGAAATAATTTCTGTATCCTTTGAAACCAAGTCTTTAGACCTCTGCCCTTCCTCCGTCAGAACCCATATTTCTACTCCTAAGACCTTGTATCCATGGAAATTCTTCCCAGTACCTAACGATGGCAAACCAAACCACAGGTTGGTTTCGAGGTCCTTTCGTCAGAAAGGCAATTCACCGGGCTAGTGTTGTGATATAGCAGGTAAAGTTGCTGCTTCCATATGGGCACTGATTTGTGTCCCAGTTGCTCTACTTCTGATCCACTTGCCTGCTAATGGCCTGTGTGTGGCCTAAATTCTTGAGCCCCTGCTACCTTCATGGGAAACCTGGATGAAGCTCCTGGCTTAGGCCTGGCCCAGCCCTGGTCATGCAGCCATCTGGGGAGTGAACCAGTGCACAGAAGATCTCTGTGTCCCCCTGTCACTCTGTGAATCTTTCAAATAAATAAACCTTTAAAAAAAGAGAGGGAGAGAGAGACGAAAGAAAGGCAATTCACCTCAAGTGAGATCCCCACGAATGTATCCTTGGATTAATTAGAAGAGGTGGGGAGGGAATCTAAAAGCTTTTGGTAATAGAATGCTCCCCTGCCCCCATCTCTTAGGGTTCACTTGTTATAGGCGGTAGGGTAGATGGGTCTTCAGTGACTGTGCCTGTAGGCTACTTGCTTTTCCAGTTGTGTGCAGAATCCCCTTAGACTGCTAATGAAACGAAACCATCTTTTTCAATAAATTAATTATAATAATAAACAGCTGTTAATCTTAGAGCACCTGGTTCTCCTTTGAAGTTTTTTTTTCTCTTTTTCAGACTCTAAATAGTAGGCAAGTGTGTGAAATAGAGGCTGATTCTTTTTTTTTTTTTTTTTTTTTTTTTTTTTTTGACAGGCAGAGTAGACAGTAAGAGAGACAGAGAGAAAGGTCTTCCTTTGCCGGTGGTTCACCCTCCAATGGCCGCTGCGGCCGGTGCGGTGATCCGATGGCAGGAGCCAGGTACTTATCCTGGTCTCCCATGGGGTGCAGGGCCCAAGGACTTGGGCCATCCTCCACTGCACTCCCTGGCCACAGCAGAGAGCTGGCCTGAAAGAAGGGCAACCGGGACAGAATCCGGTGCCCTGACCGGGACTAGAACCCGGTGTGCTGGCGCTGCAAGGCGGAGGATTAGCCTAGTGAGCCACAGCGCCGGCCTGAGGCTGATTCTAAAGAAATCCCTGACTCGACAAGGTAAGACATGGAAGGGAACAGCCATTTTCTAACTCTCCCCCCGCCTTGGTCTTGAGTGGAATAGTCTATCCTGTGCATCTAAGGACAGGAAGAAGGTTTTGTTGATCACTTTACAAGGGGGTTGTAATTACTGTGTTTTTGTTAAACTTTTTTAACTTCCTGGTGAGGGAATTTAAGAGGACAAAATAATTTTAGAACTAATATGTATAAAAAGAGAAAGTGATTGTCAAGCAGCATTCATCCAACTGTATTATTTTTAAAAGATTTATTTATTTATTTATTTGAGAGTCAGAGTTACAGAGAGAGAAGGAGAGGCAGGGAGAGGGAGAGAGGTCTTCCATCCGCTGGCTCATTCCCCAATTGGCTGCAACGGCCAGAGCTTGGCCGAAGCCAGGAGCCAGGAGCTTCCTCCAGGTCTTCCCAAATGGGTGCAGAGGCCCAAGGACTTAGGCCATCCTCTACTGCTTTCCCAGGCCATAGCAGAGAGCTGGATTGGAAGTGGAGCAGCTGGGACTTGAACTGGCACCCACATGGGATGCCAACACTACAGGCGGTGGCTTTACCTTGTATGCCACAGCGCTGGCCCCTATCCAACTTTAATGTGCATACAAATCTCTGAAATCTTGATAAAACACAGGTTTTTAATTTTTTTTTTTTAATTTGCCTGTGTTGTGGAGCAGCAGGTTAAACGGCTGCTTGAGATATCAGCATCTGCTATCAGTCCCGGCTGTTCTGCTTCTGATTCAACTCCTTGCTAATGTGCCTGGGAAGGCAGCAGATGCTCTCAAGTGCTGGGCCTCTGCCACCCATGTGGGAGATCATGATGGAGTTCCTGGCTCCCGGCTTTGGCCTAGCTCAGCACTGGCTGTTGCAGCTATTTGGCAAATGAACCAACAGGTGGAAGATCTCTCTTCCTCTCTGTCAGTTTGTCTTTCAAGTCAATTAATAAATAAATCTTTAAACTTTGAGAGGGAATGAGAAGGGTTGAGAGAGATGTGAAAAACCAAACACTCCAATCCACTGGTTCACTCATCCAGTGCCTCCAACAGCTGCTTCTGGGCCTGGGCCTGGGCCTGGGCCAGAGCCAGGAGCCAGAAACACAACCCAGGTTTCCCAGCTGAGTGACAGGAACCCACCTACTTGAGCCATCTTTTGGCAGGAAGCGGGTGTCAGAGCTGGAGCCAGAATTAAACCCAGCTACTCTAAGTTGAGATTTGAGTTTTGTAACAATGAGGATAAAAGCCTGCTGTAAAATGCAGATTTAATGGGACTGAGGTGGGGACAGATATCCTGCACTCATGCCCATATCCCAGGTGATGCCTGTGCTGGTAGTATGGAAACTATACTTTAAGCAGCAAGTTACTGAAGGATAATGGGTAAGCAAAGAGATAGGGGGTTATGAAGTTTGGATTTATAACACTCCTTTCAGTTCTGAAGTATGGTCCTTCAGGTTAAACAAAACACAATCTTTGTTTCAGTTCGACTGCCAAAACATTTCACAAAAATTGCATATGTTTCACAGCTTTTGAGGGAGGTGATTGATGTAATCACTGTGTCACTACTAAACATTAAGACATACCTTCAGTTTGCACCCTGGTGCCATGTGCTATCTTAAAATGCTAGTCCCTACAAGTTCCAGTCAGTTGCAGCTCTATTTTTTTTTTTCATGTACTTCCTTGACATTTGAAATGTGCATAATAATTACAGGAATGAGAGTTCCAAGTGTTACTTTTCACAGAGCTTCTGGTAAAGGATAGTACAAGAGGACTTCAAAACGTTGTGGAAAATGTAATTACATTATTTTGGTGTCCCAAATTTTGAATTTTTCTTTCATTCCTCCACTCTTTCTTTCCTTCCTTCCCTTTTCTTCTTCCTTCTTCTTCTCTCCTCCTTTCCTTCTCTCTCTCCCCCTCCTTCCCTGCCTCCCTTCATTTATTTAGAAAGCAGACAGAGTCACAGACCATTCTTCCTCTGCTGGTTTACTCCTCAGACGCCCGCAACAGCCAGGTCAGATGATTCCCTTCAGCCGAATTCTCTTTGTTCTCTGAAGGAGTTTGACGAATCCAGTTTTCTCATAACTCAAGTCGCGCCCTTCCAACAACTGATTGAGTGTCTGAATTCCAGCATTTTGCTCTGCCTTCCTTCTGTATTGTGCAGTACAGTCTAAGCTCTTGGAGAGCTCATCTTGTGGTAAAGCCATCAGCTCACAGGTAAGCAGCACGTTTTCCAGGGCAGGCTCATGGGGCTGGCAGATCCCTTCCCCTCACTGGAGAGCTCGGTCCCCCTGTGATGTTAGAAGACTAGTTTTTAATCTTTGATCTCTTCTCGTAGGAATTCAAGTGTCTGATCATGTTTGGATGAAAGTGCCCAAACTAAGGAACACGAGGGCAAAGCAAGTGGAAATGCTCCGGGTAAGTTTGGAGGAGTCTTTGGGTTACATCTAACTACTCTTCTCATTTTAACAGAAAAGTGGGAGTGGGGAAAGATCCAAAGGAAAGTAACCAGATAACCAGGGAGAGGGAAATGGGTTCTTCAAAAGCTGATGGGGGTGGGATTTTTTACCTGTAAATATGGGGATTAAGGAGTCACTTAACTCTCAATGTTAGAAATTTGGAGAGTTATTACAAGGCAAAGACACCCAGTTATTCTCCGTCTGCTCAAGGAAAATATTTACAAGTGTAGATTTGACAGATAACTTCTCTTAAGTGCTTTCAAGTGCTACCATCTCCTTTCTTTTGAAAGTTAAATAGTGTAGGGGCTGGCGCTGTGGCACAGTAGGTTAATCCTCTGCCTGTGGCGCCAGCATCCCAGATGAGCGCCGGTTCTGGTCCTGGCTGCTGCTCTTCTGATCCAGCTCTCTGCTGTGGCCTGGGAAGGCAGTAGAGGGTGGCCTAAGCACTTGGACCTCGGCACCCTCGTGGGGGACCCAGAGGGAGATCCTGGCTCCTGGCTTTGGATCAGCTCTGCTCTGGCCCTTGGGGCCATTTGGGAAGTAGACCTGTGGAAGGAAGACCCCTCTCTCTTTCTCTCCCTCTCACTGTCTATAACTCTACCTCTCAAATAAATAAAAACAAAATCTTTTTTTTTTTAAAGTTAAATAGTGAAGTAATAATTGGGTCTTTTTGATGGCAAAACTTAATGTATGAAGTCTCTACACACACACACACACATACACGTTTATATAAATAATGGCTGGGTTGTTTATATGCATTAATAGTGATGTTTCCTAATCTTTGGGAGCAAAATTCAGTTTCAGCATCACTGACGATGTAAACTGCTCACCCTGGTCTACCCTGCATAATGTGTCCTGTGTCCTCCACCGTCGGATCACCACTGAGCTCCATGCTAATGGGTGCAAATTACAGTGGTGCCAGCTTGTCTCACCTTTGTTAGGGATGTGCCAACTGTTTCACAATGAGCCTTTACTTTCTCTTTTACGACTGACTGTAAAAACTGCTTAGGACAAGGCTTATGTATTATGTCCACAATCTTGAAAGTCCTTACCAATGCCAATTTTTTACTCTCCAGGGATAGTTCACGGCATTTCTCCATTTCTTGGTGTTCATCTTTTACCTGCTGTCTCTTTTTAAAAAAACAAACACTAGAAACGTATTCTATACTCAGGGTCTGGAAGCTGAAAGTCCAGATCTCCAGGTGTCGGCAGAGCCATTTCCCTCTGCTTTATTCTCTTTCCCTTTCTTGCTTTTGCTCATTTTTTTTTCTGAAAGAAGATGGGAAGAAAAAATAACAACAAAAAGTTGAACATGCATCAGTCAGTTTTACTCTTCAGTGTTCCCTACATGTTTGGTGAGAGGGGAGACTGATATTTCTTTAAAGACACCTATCTGATTTAATTTAACACAGAATGCTCTTCCCGTCCATAACTGGGGGGTAACTGATAGTTGACCATCTCTTCATCAGGTGTCACCGTGGTCTAAAACTAAAATAAACCAAGTGAAGACATAATAGTTTTTACAAATAATTATCTTCAAAGTCCTGATTCTCAGTTTATTATTTTACAAAAGTTGCAAAGTAGCGTTTTGTGTGGGGTATGGAATTAGAACACTTCACAACATATAGACACTTTTTTCATGAGCTGACCATATGAACCAGATGAGTCTGATTGACCAGAGCCTTGAGCGAAATATTTCCTAAATAGAGATTCGTGATTTCTTTGTAGGAGACGCATGTACGCAAATGAAGAGTAATCTAGAAATGACACATGAATCTTTTAAATTGTAGAGCAAGTAGCCCAACCAGCAGATTCGTGGTCTTCCTTTGTATTCTCTCACACAAAACTTTGAGTAGGAATCTTTGTGTTTATTCCAAGAGATTGGTTGACACGGAGGTGGAAGGTGAATGACCATTTGTTCCCATCTGTGTGACACTAACCAAGTAGCAAAGGGTAAAATGTGTGCTCTGTCACTCAGGAATACATCTCCTGCTGTTTCACACTTAGGAGCAAGCCAGGAGTCTTACAAAGTGGAAGAAGGCATCAGGGCTGGGCATTTGAGCTTCAATGAAAACTCGGCAGAGATCATCTTTCCATGCTAATGTATTTGGTATCAGGAAAGACAGTCTGCTGAACTCTGTACTTGGTCAGCCCATTCCAAAGGGCTCTGAGAGAGGGAAAGTACAAGAGAAAGAAAGAAAGACAATCAAATTGGTAGCTTTAGGGTAAAGAAAGGCAATGAGTTTGATTTTGTAGTCCCAGAAAGGCTGAGAAATAGCTTCCCATATCCCAAAGAAGAAGGAAGGCTTTGCATAAAGGCAAATAAAAGACCTTGATGTTGGTGCTACTGCTTTCTTATGCCTTCTTTTTCATCACATCACCCTTTCCTGCCCAGCCAGGATATTCTTTCAGAATCTTCAAAATAATGTTCCAAGGAGGCCCCACCAACTGGTTAGCTTTGACTCAGACCTGTTAGACCTCTCTTAATTGTGCTGCATGATAGTGGTATTTCTTCGTTGAGGAAACTGTTGTGCTGGATCCAAGAAGACTGCAAACTGCAGTGGCTCATTTCTGGAAGCTCTGCCCAATGGCTGAAAGCATAGGTAAAGGACAAGTTGGACTGTTACTCTCTATAGATGGAACATGTGATAGATCTACCAATAAGATAGGTCATATCCTCCTCCTGCCTGTCTTCTCCACTCAAGAATTCCAGGTATTCACCATGGTTTTTAGCATGTAGTAAATACTCAGTAAATGCTTGTTGAATGATCATATGAATAAAAAAAATGGCTAGCATTAAATCATGGTGATCAATTACCTTTTTTTTTCAAAGATTTATTTGTTATTTGAAACACAGAGTTACAGAGAGGCAGAGAGAGAGGGAAAGAGAGGTCTTCCATCCTCAAGTTTACTCCCTGGATGGCTGTGATGACCAGAGTTGTGCCAATCCAAAGCCAGGAGCCAGGAGCTTCTTCTGGGTCTCCCACATGAGTGCAGGGGCCCAAAGACTTGGGCCATCTTCTACTGTTTTCCCAGGCCATAGTAGAGAGCTGGATGAGAAGTGGAGCAGCCAGGACTCGAACTGGCATCCAAATGGGATGCTAGCACTGGAGGCAAAGGCTTTACCTGCTACACCACAGTGCTGACCCTTCAATTTCCATATTGTAGGGTGAGTACAGTACTCTACAATTTTGAATTTTTTTTCTCTGTATTTGTACATAAAATATTGACACCTGATGTGGTTTAATCTATTAGTGCTACCAAACTTGTAGAAAACAAATATTTAAAAACAACTTTGGATATGTAATTTAAAACCAAGCCATCCCATGTAATTTTTTTTTTGATTTGCAAAAAAAAAAAAAAAAAAAAAAAAAGGCATTCGAAGAATGTGGGCATATTTTTTCACTAATAATATACATGGAATTCCCTGTCACCAATTCATGGTATCCCACAAAGAACATGATTTTCAGGTGTTTCAAGACCTGAATATGTTTAAAAACCACTGTCCCCTGCCAACTCCTATGTTTTATTTTAAAAGATGTATTTTTTTTATTTGAAAGAGTGATAGGCTGAAAGGGAGAGACAGAGAGAGACAGATCTTCCATCCTCTGGTTCATTCCCCAAATGGCCACAACAGCCATGTCTGGGGCAGTCTGAAGGCAGGAGCCAGGAATTCCATCCTCATTCTTCCACGTGGGTGGCAGAGACCAAAGAATTTGGGCCATCTTCTGCTGCCTTCCTAGGTACATTAGCCGGAAGCCGGATGGGAAGCAGTGTAGCTGGAACTTTAACCTCTTCTCCAGTATGGAATGCCAGCATTGCAAGCAGTGGTTTAATTCACTGTGCCACAATGCCAACCCCTACATTTAGGGCAGTAGTTCTTAGAGTGTGCATCAGAATTACCCGGAAGGCTGGTTGAAAGAGATTGCCAGGGCCTTCCTCAGAGACTCTGATTTAGTAGATCTGCATTTCTCACAAGTTGTCATGTAATACTGTTGGCCCAAAGACCGCACCTGGGGAACCACTGTTTTAGGGCATAATTTCATGAGATAAAGACAGCCTGTATTATTTTGGTTGCTGCTTGCCAAATACCTTCTGAAAGATGCTGAACATAATAAGAGCCATTGGTACACATCTTAACTCACTAACCCTCATAAAACCCTGTTAGGTGTATACTATTATTATCCCCAGTGTGAGGTATAGAGAATTTGAATAGTAAATGGCAGGGCCAGCTCTTGGTCCCAGGTAGTCTGGCTTCAGTCTCTTAACCGCAGCATTCTATTGACTTTTACGAAAAGGGCTAATTATTATAGATCCTCCCAACCATGTGGCTTTGAGCCAAGTCAAGGAAAATAACCAAGAAGAGTCCAAAGGCCTATGTTGTTGAGCAGAAAGGATGCAAGCAGTGGGCTCTTTGGGCATGGGTTGCTCATAAAACATTCCCTTGCCTGTCTTACTGTCACTGGTGAAGGCAAAATGAGACCTCCTTCCTCAGAGGGCACAGCAAATGACTGGGGACAACTGGATGTACCTTCATTCCACAGGGACTGTTAACCATATTTTCAAATAAAGACACAACCACATCCATGCAGGTGCAAAATAAAGAAGATGGAAAATCTTCATGTACTAATCGGTAGATGGTGCCAAGAATGATTGTTCAATGTTTAAAAGGGAAGAAAAATAGCACATTTCTCTTTGCTTACATACGCATAAAATGTCCTAGGAGGACAAACAATAGGGGCCAGAATAGGAGGGCTTTCCCGCTTTTTTTTTCCATACATATTTTTTATTTTTGAAAATTTAATAATTGATAGATTTTCTGTGATTTTCATTCTTTGATTACTTGGAGAAACCTTTTCTCTTTGGGACCATTTTCCCTTCATCATCAACATCGTAAAAGTCCCCTTTACTAACCCACTTGGAAGTCCCTTGCAGCCTGAGGGGCCTGTGTTTAGGGTT